ATGAGACAAAGTATATGTGAACTGCTGTATGAAAAGTGAATTTACTCTGTAAATCTTCACCCAAATCCTAATTAAAAATAAATAAATAAATAAATAAAAATTAATTAGCATATACCATTTATTACTTATTCAGTTCAAAAGATATAAACAGTTGTACAGTGAAAATTACATCTTGCTCCCTCAGGGACAACATGACCAGTAGAAGTTACTGTAAATGGCAACCTATTTTTATAAAAATCTTTTTTTTTTAAAAACTATGTAATTTGAGATTGTTTCTATGACTGACTTTAAGTATTTTTATGTGTGTATGTGTGTGTTTGTTGAACCCCCCATCCCCCTGGCTCCAGATAAGTTTCTTTAAGATGGGTTCTGAAAATCTCAATGAACAACTGGAAGAATTTTTAACTAATATTGGAACAAGTGTACAGAAGTAAGCAATTTCTTTCTTAAAATTGAAAATTAAATTATGTGAATGGTAATTTAATAGCTAAGTGCCGTAATCTAAAAATGTTTACCATTTAATTTCCTGAGGGAGTATTTTTCCTGCCATGAGTTTATTTCTCTCATGGCCCATGGATGCTTCTTGTTTTTTCATCATCTTTTCCACAGAACACGAACACTGAATATCACAAGTGTCGATTCTGATGTTGATTTTATTGATCATAAACTGGGTTTTATGTCTAAATATAAAAGACATATAATAACAATTATCCATAAGTGAATTTATCTTCAAATTCTCAGTAGTGGGTGATGGATAGGAGATTACTAAATGCGTCTTGCTTTCTATGCAATGAAAGCTTAAAATGAGAGAGAAAGCAGTTCTAATTGAGTTCAAAAGACTGAGTAATGATATGCTAGTCTGAGGTTTGGAGGGAGATCAGAATGATTATTGTTTTAAAGGCACAGTACAGATCAATTTGAAAATTCTCCCAAGTTAGACATTCGGGCATTAGTTTTTGAATTTGGTATTGTTTTTAAAATCAGTAGCAAATAAAATACAAAGCTGTTTTAAAATGTATTCATTTTCTTTACCCACCTATACCACCACTTCTCTTTTTACAAAAACATGTATAAATGAGATATCCATATAAAAGTGATTGGTAAGGAGTTCTTGCCTATTGTTGGTAGTAAATAATCAGTTTTCTGCATTAGTGTTCGCAGGGAAATGGACAGTGATGTAGAGACCATGCAGCAGACAATAGAGGATTTGGAAGTAGCCAGTGACCCGTTATATATACCTGACCCAGACCCCAGCAAATTCCCTGTTAATCGAAATTTAACCCGGAAGGCTGGATACCTTAATGCTAGGAAGTAAGAAAACTATCGTTAATTTTTATATACTGTATATAGTCTATGGTAATACCAAATGAATGTAATATGTACTTCATGTTGCCTGCCAAAGTGTTTTGATTTTCCTAAAGGTTGATCCTTTTTAGTGATGTTAATATTTATGTGAACTTTTTGAAAGGTGAAGTAAAGTGCATGAATATTTTCAAAGGTAAAATTCTGCTTAGATATTTACTGAAAACAGAATTATAAAAAACCCACTGCCGTTGAGTTAATTCCAAGTCATAGCAAGGTCCCTATGAAAGAGTAGAACTGCCCCATAGGGTTTCCAAGGCTGTAAATCTTTATGGAAGCAGACTGCCTCATACTTCTCCCTCTGAGTGGCTGGTGGGTTCAAACCACTGACCTTTTGGTTAGCAGCCCAGTGCTTTAACCACGACACCACTAGTGCTCTAGAAGTATAAAAGAATTGTTTAAATATGTTATTAAGATGGAAATGTTACTAAATATCATTTATATTTGATAAATTTTATCATATTATATCATATATCAAAATATATGTAATTATATGATCTAGTAAAATTTTAGTTTTTACCTGAGGATGTGATAAAGCAAGTTAACTATAACTTACTTTAAATTTAAAATAAATTCTTTGGTTTTGAATATATTCCCTTGGAAATTGAACTGTAACCTATATTCTATGGAACATCATAACAGTTGCATTGCAGTTTGAGAATTTCTAGCCTTGTTTTGAAAAAATATACACACACACACACACACACACATATGAGTCAGTCAACCTATATGAATTTATTTTGGAGGCTGAAAAACTGACAATTATATATTCTTTCTGGTACCTTGATGCCTTTTCCAAGCTTTGTGATGTGCTCTTATTTTTTGTCTGGCTGATGGTGAGGAGATGCCAGATGTGTAGTTATTAAAAAGTGAAAATGTGCTTTCTTCATTTAGTAAAACAGGCTTGGTGTCATCTACCTGGGACAGACAGTTTTACTTCACGCAGGGTGGAAACTTAATGACTCAGGCCCGAGGGGATGTAGCAGGTGGCCTGGCCATGGACATAGACAACTGTTCAGTGATGGCTGTGGACTGTGAAGACAGGCGATACTGTTTTCAGATCACCTCTTTTGATGGAAAAAAGTTAGTAGTTTTTTCTACTATTAGTAAAATCTGTAATATTTTTAACTATCAAATTGCAGGATAATTTCTTTTACAAATGTAATAGACATTTTAGCCTCATTATATATGAAGAAAATTTTTCTTCTTTATTCTTGTAGAAATGAGTTGAATTTTCCTTTCTGACTTGGGTAAATGATTTCTTAATATTTTGAGGCTGACAAAGCAAGGTCCCTGAACTTGCATATGGTAAGACCTTTCTTTGATTTCATGTTAAGAGAATGTCACTGAAAATCCTGCATGACATGGGCGCTGGTTAGTGGAAAGAGCCCCAACCCTGCAACCAGATCTGCTGTTTAATGTGTGTCTGTCGATATGTGACTTTACCACTAGAACTCTATTTCTCTACATGTAAAATGGCTGGAGGATGGGATAGTCATAATCCCTACTTTGAAGAGTAGAAATCTAATATATGCAATGTGTCTAGTGTTATTTTCAAATACTCATCAAACATTTCTGATCAAATTCATTATTTAGTCCAATTCATGTTTATAGTGCCATTTTAAAAACTTCTGTTACTTTTGTATTAAATTAAAACCTATAAAGTAGCATTTAGAAAACAATTTTTTTCCTAAGTTTTATTTATTTTGTTGCTGGTGAGAACATACATAGCAAACCATACAATGATTCAATACTTCCTACATGAATGTTCAGTAATGTTGATTACATTCTTCACGTGGTCCAGCTGTTCTCACCCTCCTTTTCCAAGTTGTTCCTCCCATATTTACATAAACTTAGTGCCCCCTAAGGTTCCTATCTAATCTTTAGAATTGCTGTTGTCAATTTGATCCCATATTGATAGATCTTAAAAGAGCACATACTCAAGGCATATGTTCTATTTACTAGTTAAGCTAATCTATTGTTTATTTTTAAGCTGACTTCAGGGGATGTTTTTGGCTTAAGGTGTAAAGAATATGTCAGGGCAATGGTTTAAGGTGTTTATCTACCTTCCATGGCTCCAGGAAGTCTAGAGTCCATGAGAACATGAAATTCTGTTCTGTATTTTTCCACTTTTGATCAGGATTCATCTGTGGAATCTTTGATAGAAATGTTCAGTAATGGTAGCTGGGCATCATCTACTTCTGTTCTCATGGCACAGGAGGCAGTTGTTCATAGAGACAGTTAGCCACACATCAATTTCCTTCTCTTATTCTTGACCTTCCTCTGTTGCTCCAGGTGAATAGAGACCAATTGTTTTGCCTTGTAGGCCACTTGCAAGCTTTGAAGACCCAGGTACTATGCACTGAACTAGGATGTACAACAGAAGCACTACATATTATTAGTGTGTATATAACTAACCCGTGAAACTAAGATGCTAAACCTCCAAACCAAGGAATCAAATCCTGTGTGTGTGTGGTGAACATAAGCAACCTGAGCAGCTACACTTCTTTTTTCTGTTATTGTTGTAAATATATCTATCACATTTTTGCCAGTGTAACTTTTTACAGGTATACAACTTACTGACAGCAGTTAAAATGATAGGCAGTGCATCCCTACCCTTAATCAATGTAATTTTCCATTACTGTTAACTGTAGTCTCCCTACCCCATCCCCGTTCCTTCTCACTAATGAACTTTGGTCTCTATATATTTGCCTTTTCTTATCTTTTTATATAACTCAAGTTATACAAGAGTTGTCCTTTTGTGATTGGCTTTTTTTGCTCAGCATAATGTCTTCAAGCTCCATCTTTACTTCATCTGCCAATCTAGCTTTTCCTTTCTATCAGGTTACTTTGGAGCAAGAAAAAACAAAAATTAAAATGCAAATTAGATGACTTAATGACTAGAGAATACAATATTTGTATTTGAATAATTCAGACTTAAGTATTCTTTTATCAATGATCAGAATTTCTAATTTTTTGTCAGTGTTTTCCAATTATCTAGAGTCATTTTATGGATATTAAGGCATTTAACAACAACAACAAAAAAAATAAGAGAAGAAATTTTGGTCAATTTTTGACATTGTATTGGTATTTTTGTTCACTGTGAGACATGATTTCTTTACACCACCATCTTCCCAGAATCCTCTAGAATACTTTTTTTTTTAAAGCATAAATAAGATAGGAGTAAGAATAAAAGCTGTAATTTCACCAACCAGAAGCAGTGGTTGTTAACGTCTCGGTTTAATGCCTTCCAATTTTTATCCTAAGTACATTTTTTAAATAGTTGAAGAACTATTGTTTATATAATTTGGAGCTATATCTACTTATTAAAAACATTTCATATGGCTACATTATAATCCATATAAAGATATACATCATAATTGAAATATTTTCCTAATGTTTTAGTTAACTACAGTTTTTTTCCACTTAATTAAAATATTGCCTTGGACCTTTATTAAGAGCACTCTGGTTCTCTGAAGTCATTGTTTTCCTATGTTTATGTACATTATGTGAGATGTTAAGGAGCACTGGTGGTGCAGTGCCTGAGGTATTTGACAGCAAACCAAAAGGTTGGCAGTTCAGACTCAGCAGCCACTCCACAGAAGAAAGACTGGACAATCTACTTCCATAAAGATTTATTGCCTTGGAAACCCAATAGGGGTCGCTATGAGTCAGAATTGACTCGATGGCAGTGGTTTTTTTTTTTTAATTTATTTTTTATTTTTTTACTATAGCTCAATGTCTTTTTTCAAACTGGTTGCTTAATTTTATATTCCTTCTCCAAATGTCTTGAATCTCAATTTCTGTGTCAGCTACAATGTTAGTTATTGGAAGTTCCTGTGTTCATTCACCAAAATTACCTGATTATTGAATTACATTACAGTAAGTACTTTTATCTTGGTGTATTTAGTTTTATGCTAATGTTTAATATGATTTCTCCCTTCACATTCTTGATGTGTGATGCAAATTTGTAAAAATTACTTCTTCCCCAACTTTTAAAATATTAATTTCTAGAGAAAAGCTAAATATACTTGTGTCAGTAATTCTTATATTGAAAATTTTGATTTAACCTTGTTAAAGGAGGAAAAATCAGCAATAAGTAAAGGTAATATTTTCTATTATGATCACTGATTTAAATTTGAAATAAGTATCATAAGGTCAGAAAGTTGAAATACCTTAGTTGACGTGTACCTTTGTCATAGCCTGCCTTTTGAGAACCAGCATTTATTTCCTTTCTAATATACCTTGGCAGAGATAGTCAAAGTCAGAGTTAGAATCTGAGTCCTGATGCCTGAGGCAGTCTTCTTTTCCTGAAATACTGATTTTTTTTTTTCACAAAAAAACCAAAACCCAATGCCATCAAGTTGATTTTGACACATAGCAGTCCCCATAGGGTTTCCAAGGCTGTAAATCTTTATGGAAACAGACTGTCTCATCTTTCTCCCACTGAATGGCTGGTGGGTTTGGACTGCCTACCTTTTGGTTAGCTTGCAAATGAGTTCCAAAAAAAAATCAAACTCACTGCCTTCAAGTCGGATCTGACTCCTAGCGACCGCTCCTTGGGTTTCTGAGGCAGTATCACTACGAAAGTAGATTGACCAGTCTTCCTTTTGAGGGGTGGCTGGTGGGTTTGAACCGCCAGCCTTCTGGTTAGCAGTCAGATGCCTTAGGCACTATGCCACTGCAAATTCTACTCTGTCACAGAGTGTCACCATAAATCAAAATAACTTTATGGCACTTAGCAACCACATAGAGATAAAAAGTTCTTTTAGATCATATTGAAAGTATTTTATAAAAAAGCGGAGGGTCAGACTTCTTCTCTTTTTTCTTTTCAGATCTTCAATTTTGCAAGCAGAGAGTAAAAAGGATCATGAAGAGGTAAAATTTTACATAGCTAATTTCTTCAGCATGAAGAAAATATATCTTTTTATTATAAAATATATATTAATGTGTTCATTATAGAAAATTTGGAAAATTCTAGTCAAGACAAAGGTCTCAAGTTTCTCAGAATTTTACAGCTGGAGGGAACTTAGAAATCATCTCTCTTAAGGGCTAATACTCAGAAATGACCTTGTGACTGGTGCTTTCTGGCAGGCTGTTAACATCATGAGGCGACAGCTTAATTTATTCCCTTCTCTCACTAACCCTCCGAGACAGTATTTGCTAAAGTAAAAGCATAGTGGCAGCCGATGTAGCATGGCAGGAAGCAATTGAAGCACAAAACCTTGGGGAAATGAAAGACAGAAAAACAAAAATTTGGGAGTCTCTGTTCTTCCTCACAATCCTTTTATTTTTGGCTCCATTTTTACTTCTGATCCACCAAATATGGAAGGTAAGATACTACCAAGAACTTAATACTGCAAAACTATCTTGAGAAATATTCTTCCATAAAAATACACCACAGTTTGGTTTTTGACCCAATTTATCTGACATTATAATTGTTTTGGTAAAAGACAAGTTTAGAAATTATGTAGAGTTCTACCTTTATTTATTTCTTGTGGAAAAGAGATGGTATTAAAACTTGCTTTTAGTGTCTAAAGAAGCATAATTGTCTGCTTTCATCAGGGTTTACCAAACACAATAATTAAGTTTAGTGAGACCTGTCATGCATTGATAGAGTGAAGCAAAAGATGTAGAGAAAGAGTTTCTATGTTAATTATGTATAAACTTGAGAGAAGGGAAGTATATATTCACTTGGACTGTATTTAGCTCTTTGTACTGATTTTTATTAGGATATGACTCTAGACTGTGTTGTTTGATGGGAAAGATAAGTACAGATTATTAAATTACAATTGAACATTATTCTATGTTTTTTATTTCCTTGTGTAAAATAAATTCTTAAAAAATTAATAAATCTGCTCAATATTATACCCTTAAATACTACACATATGTAAGTGCATATGTTTATATGAAGGTGTTTTCCTTATAAGGAAGAGCCTGTGTTATTTCTACTGAAACGTTTATTTCATGTGAATATTGAACATTGTCTTTTAGAAAAGAAGCTTTGAAGGTAAAAAAAAATATATTATTCACATTTTTCTATTTTTTTTCCTCTTACAGTGGATCTGTACAATAAACAACATATCTAAGCAAATATATTTAAGTGAAAATCCAGAGGTAATTATTTTATGGTATCCAGATCTAGCACATTGGAGTAATTTTATGGTTTACATGGCTTTTATTAATTGTCATAATTTCTCAAGGTCTGTAATGTTTTGATATTGAATTGGTAGCTTTAATGTATCATATATGTAATGAGTGGCTGATCTTCCTAGAACAAGATATTATTTCAGAAAGTACTGAAATTAGTCAATCAGCAAATATTTACTGGGTATCAGGTCTGTATTTAGCACTCTGTTGAGCACCACAAAGAATGAGGATACAAAAATAAATAAATAAATAAGCCATGGCATCTGCCTTCCAGGAGTGTGGCTGTATGGGGAAGCACAACTAAAACTTTTTAGGCATGTCACATGAAGCATTGTCTAATTGAAAGTGAACGGTAGTGACTAAAAGCTTACATTTAGAGGATGTTAAGATCATTGTGAACATTAGAGAAAGCTCTGTGGGGATGGTGGAAACCTGACTGGGTAAGATTTGTCTGTGTTTTGAGGAAAAGAGAGGGTGTTGCAGATGAGAGCATAAAAACAAAAACACAAAGACAGAATTAGGATGTATATGAAAATTGTAGTGTAATTGGGGATGAAAGTTATTGTTGGAGAATAAGAGCAAAGTGAAATGTGCATACAAATCAGCTGGGGGATATTGTTAGAATGCATGTTCTGACTTGGTGGGTATGGGATGAGATAGCTTGAACTCCTAGTTTTGCCAGATTATACTTTGAGTAGCAAGGGTATTAAACCAGATGAATCCAGGAGTGTGGACATAGTCATAGGTGCAGTACATGCCTGCAGAATCTGATGAAACAGAACTGTTGAAGGACTCGGGAAGGAGTCAGGTGGGTCCACACTGCAGTAGGATTGGGCAAAGCCTTGGCCCTGGGGCAGGACCTGTCTGTTCTCTGCTAGTCATGGTAGGCTTGCTTAGTTGTGCTAAGAACTCTGGGTGCGTTCCAGGGCTGGGTCGGGGCTGAAGATTTCAGCTGAGGCAAAGCAGGGCTGATTTTTTTGGAAACCCTAACCCTTCTAAGTCTTAAGCTACTGTTCCTGTAAGGGTGGATTAGAGGGAAAGGTCTGGGGACTCATAGGGGAGGCCATTAGTTCAAGCATGAACTGAGGGTCTGAATGGGATAATAACCAGGCAGAGGAAGAGAGAAGAAAAATGAATCAGAGAAATAGGTAAAAAGAAATTGACTGGACAGTTAGTGACTGATGAAGGAGACAGATGCTGAAGATGATGCCCAAATTGTAAGCCTGAGTGAAGGGAAGAACAGGTTGGAATACAGTCTTTTTTTTTATCACGTGATTATTAGGTGCCAGCCAAGACACACAATTTGGATGTCCAGGAGGAAGTTTTCAAACAAAGACACAAAAACATATGACTTCTAAAATATTAGTAATTTCTCTTAGTTTTATGATAATCTTAGGAGTGTAATTATAGAAAATCATTGCCAACTGTAGATAAGCCTTTTGTTTTTTGTCACTTGATCTCCTGCCAATCTAGCTTTTCCTAAAAACATTTAAAAATAAAATGCAAATTAGATGACTTATTTTAATGTCTAGAGAATATGGTATTTGGATTTGAATCATTCAGACTTTTTTTTTTTAATATTATCAGTATTTCTAGTTTTTTTGTCAGTGTTTTTCAGATTATGTAGAATTATTTTATAGGTATTAATGAGAGAAGAAATTTTGGTCCACTTTATACTGTATTGCTATTTTTGCTTACTGAGACATATATATGCAAAAATATGTTACTTTTTTAAATTTAAATAGTATTTATTTAGGCAGTGCCTTAAATAAAACCGTAAGACTAAAAATCTTTCTTATGGAAAGGTTTCTTTTAAATTTTGGCCTGAAAATACTCATGTTGGCCTTATAAATACATGAAATTTCTGAGCATAAATGTATTCTGGAAATTATGAAAACCTCAGCGTCATAGTTATAATACTAACTCATGTTTTGTGAATGTCCCTACTCCTTCTAAATTTTTTAATTTGACAAACATACTGAGTACCTACCCTCTCAAGCCCTGTGCTGGCTGCTGGCAGTATAGTGGTAAACAAATCTCAATCCAAAAAATCTAATAGCTATAAACTTCAAAAACCAGTATTTTTTTATTATGTATATTAGTAAAAAAAACAGATTTTTTTTTCCTTGATAGGAAAGAAAAGCAAACGTAAGTTTAGTGAAGTTAGTTACATGTCTTAATACTAAGAGAATGTAGAACTACTGTAATAGCTCCAATTTGTATTTTATGTATAACTCAAAAGCATTTTGACAAATAGAGTCAGACTTTTGGTTTTCTTACTTTACTAATATTAGTACTTTTTTTTTTTGAAAACAAAAAAATTGAAACAGGAAATTGCTGCTCGAGTCAATCAGTCAGCTCTGGAAGCTGTTACCCCTTCTCCGTCTTTCCAGCAGAGGCACGAGAGCCTGCGGCCAGCAGGGTGAGTTACCAGCCTGTGAGGGTTATTTAAAGATCTTTATGGGCTATTTAAAGTGTTAGCAAACACTTTTTTGTAGTACTACTTAGATTAGTAATAAATAGTTCCCCAAACAACCTACAAAGCATACCTTTAAATAGGTAAATTTCCAAGCTTGCTAAAGCTGGTGAATGATGATTGCAGATTTCCCTAGTGTTTCCAGTGAATCTCTAGATTAGGTAATTCATGTTTTTATATTTAATAATTGGAAACACTCCAGCACTAGTAGCTAAGTTCAACAAGACAGAAAATAACAAATGCTGGCGAGGTTGTGGAGAGATTGGGACTCTCATACACTGCTGGTGGGACTGTAAAATGGTACAACCATTGTGGAAAGCAGTATGGCGATTCCTTCAAAAGTTGGAAATACAAATACCATTTGACCCAGCCATCCCATTACTAGGTATATACCCTAGAGAAGTGAGAGCCATGACAAGAACAGATACTTGCACGTTGATGTTCATCGCAGCACTATTTACAATAGCCAAAACTTGGAAACAACCTAGATGTCCATCACCTGAGGAATGGATAACCAAACTTTGGTACATTCACACAATGGAATACTATGCAACGCTAAAGAATAATGTAGAATCTGCAAAACACCGCATAACATGGATGAACTTGGAGGACATTATGCTGAGTGAAATAAGTCAGTCACAAAAGGACAAATATTATATAAGTCCGTTACTGTAAAACTTAAGGAAAGGTTTATCTATTGGAGGAAATTTTCTTTGTTGGTTACCAGGGGTGGGAGGGGAGGGAAGGGAACGCTGTTAGATAGATAGTGATAAATACTGATTTGGGTGAAGAGAACGGCAATGTACCAAATGGGAGTGACCAATATGGCACCATTGAGGATGAGAAAGACATAGAGAGGTACATGGGAAGTACAGACAACAAATATGAACCCTTTTGCATATACAGTACTGAGTTGTCAGTGAAGGCAAACAGGGATATATGGACGGATAGATAGGTGGACAGGCTAAACAATTAGGTATGTCTAAATGGGGAGGGTATCCAAGAGCATATATAGGGTTGGCAGACAATGGTCCTATAAGTTTATGTAAGTGATCAGAATTCCCAGGTGTATAGTAGAGCTGACAAGGGGCAAGGTTGTGGTCATTGCTTGGTCACAGCCAGCTACCCAGAGGGACCGAGTAGTCGATCCTGTGGGCTTGGGACCATAGTCGCAGGGGACATCAAGCTCAATTGGCATAACATACTATACAAAACATTGTTCCACCTCCTACTTTGGCGAGTAGCGACTGGGATCTTAAAAGCTAGCAAGCTGCCATCTAGATGCAACAATGGGTGTCTCCTCGTCAAGAAGAAAGAAGAAAACCAAATGAATGGAAACAATCAGTCCTAGCGACTGGTACACCATCTGATCTGCAACCTATACAACTATGAGACCAGAAGAACTAGATGGTGCCCGGCTACCACTGTCATCCACTTGGAAGGGATGTACAAGATCCTGCATAGAGAGGGAGAACAATGTGGAACAAAACTCAAAATCATTTGGAGGCAAAAAAAAAAAAAAAAGAAGAAGGTGGGGACCAGGTTTGCTGGTCCAGTAAAGCCTGGTGAAACCACTGAGACTATGACCCCTAGCTGCCCTTCAGGTCTGGGATTGAACCCACACCTGTGGTTTCCAGCCAAACAAAGAACAGGCAAGTGAGTTAAACATTTACCTCAAGTAGACACATACCATGGAGAGAACAATCATGGGAGAAGGAAGGGCTGCTTATGCACAGGGAGACAGCTCAGGGCGCAGAAGAGTATGGAGGGATGGACACTGGGAAGAGGTAACTATGGGGAGGAAGTGGGAGGGGAGCTGTTGCATTGTAAATTTTGGTCAATGACATGAGACAAAGTATATGTGAACTGCTGTATGAAAAGTGAATGTACTCTGTAAATCTTCACCCAAATCAAAATAAAATTAAAAAAAAAAAATGGAAACAAAGAAGTCTGTAGTTAAATAAGTAGCTATGAATTAGGATTGTGCTTTTATTGAAATTTGTTAAAACTGACTTCTTATAAAATTAGGTTTTCTTTTCTCATAATTGGTTAAATATTTGTTTTCCACAAGAGGAAACTAAATGCAATGCCTTCTCATTTTCTTCTGTGCTTAGACAATCTCGGCCTGCAGCAGTTCGAACCAGCAGTTCGGGATCTTTAGGTTCTGAGGGAACAAATTTGGCTGCCCTCTCTTTAGATTCCCTTGTTGCCCCAGACACACCAATACAATTTGACATCATTTCTCCTGTGTGTGAAGATCAGCCCGGCCAAGCAAAAGCCTCTGGCCAGGGAGGCAGGTGGGTGATAGCATCGCAGTAACATTGTTCTCTGGTCTGTAAGGTATTTGATTGCATTTCTACACTTGCAAGTCATTTCTCACGTCAGCTGCGTTGTATTTTCTTTAAGGAGCTCTGGTAGCACAGTGCCTAAGGCATCTGATTGCTAACCAGAAGGTTAGTGGTTCAAACCCACTAGCCAATCCATGGAAGCAAGACTGGGCAGTTTACTTCCGAAAGGATTTTCTGCCTCGGAAACCCAGAAGGGGGTTGATGTGAGTTGGGATCGACTCCATGGCAGTGGGTATTTGGTTAACGTAATTACGATAATGTTAAAGAAATATGGCAGGTTTTCTTCGTGTCTGTCTACTACCTCAGTAAGTGAATTAAGATAATTTATTTTTTTAATATTTTATTTTATGGGCACATAACCTTCAGGAGGGGAAAAAGCTGTAGTTTCGCATGTAGTATAAAAATTGTCCTTTTTTTTTTTTTAATACTTTTTTTTTTTTGGTTGCTGTTTGGAGAATATGCACAGCAGAACATGCACCAATTCAACCATATCTACATGTACAGTTCCCTGAAACTGATTACATTCTTCAGGTTGTGTAACCATCTCACCCTCCTTTTCTGAGTTGTTCCTCCCCATTAACATAAAGTCAGCACTCCTTCACTTTTCCTACCTCATCTTCTGAGTTGTTCTTGTGAGTTTGATCCCATACAGATTGATGCAAAAGAGCACAATGCTTAAGGCAGATACTCTTTACTAGTTAAGCTAAGTTATTGCTTGGTTTGAAGATGACTTCAGGGGATATTTTTGATTTAAGATTTAAAGATTATTTCAGGGTAGTAGTTTCAGGGGTTCATCCAGCCTTTAGATAATTTAGTTTTAAAAATATTTTAATTCTTAATTCCTTTTCACATCTACTGCTTGTGTATTTGCTCTTAAAATTTCCTAAGAAAGTTGATAGTCTTGTCTTTAGGTTGTGACAATATTTTAAAACGTGTGGGGGTGAAACATGTGCTATAGGTTTATCAGAAAATACTATTTTGTAGCAGAATAAGAAATCTCCAGGGAGGTACTAAACCAGTATCACTACTATGAATTATTAATAAATCATTTTTTGTTTATGGGAGCTCTGGTGGCGTAGTGCCTAAGGCATTTGACTGCTAACCAGAAGGTTGGCGGTTCAAACCCACCAGCCACTCCTTGGAAGGAAGATGGGGCAATCTACTTCTGTAGTGATACCACCTCGGAAACCCAAGGAGCAGTCGCTATGAGTCAGATCTAACTCGACGGCAGTGAGTTTGATTTTTTTGGTTTTTCTTTTGTTTATGTAATGAGAAATATCCTTATCAAAGCAGTTAAAATTAATTTCTTTGCCTTTGGATGAAGGAAATGTGACTTAAGACAAATCATACATTGATTGGGTTTAATGCCTAATAAGTTGATAATAGACATTAATTTGGATATACGTGGCTGTGACCAAGAATAAGTAATTTACATTTCATCACAGAAGCATATTTAGCATTTGATATAGGTGAAACAGTAATTAAGGAGATCAGTTTCATGCTATCTTAGTGCCAGTGTTATTTTAGAACTACTTAGCTCTCTGCTTCTAAAACCTGAGTTGTACTTTGATCTTTCCTTGTGGATGTGCCAAGTGCCAAACACACTAAAGAGGGAGGTATCTTCCATCTCCAATTCATTTTTCTTCCTTCCATTCTGTTACTTATACATTGATAAATTTGGATCTAAAACTATACAGTGTTCAAATCCTTAGAGTTAACTTGCTCCATGTTCTTAGAGAACCTAAAAAGAGGTTTTGGCAATCTCACTAAATGCCTGAATTTTTTTTCAGTCAGGTAACACTGAAACTCAACAGATACTTCCTCTGTGCTTACTTACTTAAATTCATGAACTTTTGTAACAGGGTTTATTATGATACTCATTTGTGTGTGTGTGTTTAAACTTCTCGTCTGTCCATGTTTTCTGAAATGCAGCAATATTGGGTTCAACCTGTGAGCTCAGTTACTGTGTGAAGGCAGGGGCCTTTGTCACAATAATTTGGTCATCAGTAATGTTCCTTAATAGGATGGCACATTTTATAGAGCTTTTCTTTTTAAAATGTATGCATTTGTGACTCTTTGATTTTTAACTCTGGTTTTAATAAGATTGAAATGTCTTCCATGTTGCTCTTGGTAACTGACAATTGGTTCACATTTTTCTCCCCCCAAACTTCTTAGACGTACAAATCCATTTGGAGAATCTGAAGGAGGTACTACAAAATCTGAAACTGAAGGTAAAAATAGATGTGAGGTATTATTATATTTTAGAAATTCTTCTCAACAGTAAACTGTGTGAAGAATTTGTCATTTATAATTGTTTTGCTACAATTTAAAAAAAAAAACACTGCTGTTGAGTCGGATCCAACTCACAGTGACCTGCTTTGGGTAACTGAGGTGGTAAATCTTTATGGAAGTAGATTGCCCGGTCTTCTTTCCATGGAGTGGTTGGTGGGTTTGAACTGCCAACCTTCTGGTTAGCAGTCAAATGCTTTGTTATGTCTGTCGAGTTGGTCCCGACTCATAGTGACCCCTCCTTGGGTTTCTAAGGCAGTATCACTATGGAAGGAGATTGCCTAACCTTCCTTCTGAGGAGTGGCTGGTGGGTTTGAACCATCAGCCTCCTGGTTAGCAGTCAAGTGCCTTAGGCACTATGCCACCAGAGCTCCCGTCAAATGCCTTGGGCACTGAGAATACTCCGCTTTAATGTTATCTTCCAAATTTTCTACTCATAATGCATTTTAAGCAACAGAACTTTATCTAGTTAAGATAGTGTTATTCACACAAAATTATAGAATATCACACTTTTGACTTAATAGGCAAGTTTTCCTATGCATAAGATATTTTTAAGACTTTTTTAATAGCTGATGTTTCACTTCTAGTATTGGAGCATAACTTTTCTTCTAGTAGCCATTTATCTTGACACAATTTCAAAGTTAAAGAAAGTTATAAAATTATATATGAAATTTCTTTTATACAGAACTACCAGTTGTTGAAAAATAACATTTTGTTATTTGAGTTTGAGACCTTCACTTTCCTATAACTTGAACACTGGAGTTAGGAGTTATTTCTAAATAGCTCTGCTAGGTTGAATTTTTCACTGGCAAATCTAAAAGGAAGCAGTGTATTTTATTTTGTAGGAAAAAAAGTGGGATTTAAAAATACTAATTTGCCTTGTTCTGTTACAGATTCTATTCTTCATCAGTTATTTATTGTCCGATTCCTTGGTTCTATGGAGGTGAAATCAGATGACAATCCAGATGTTGTTTATGAAACAATGCGCCAGATCTTAGCTGCCCGGGCCATCCATAACATCTTCCGTATGACAGAATCACATTTATTAGTCACTTGTGACTGTTTAAAGTAAGTAGTAACCCTTCCCTCAAAAAAACTGTCAGAGAAAAAAGGTCTACATAATCTTGGTTTAATTAAAATTTGTTTTAATATAGGTTAATTGATCCACAGACACAAGTTACAAGACTCACGGTGAGTTCTATATGTTTATAGCTTTATCTTTGTGCATATACGTCTATATACATTATCTTGGCCCTATATATTCAAATATATGGTAGTATCAATTATAATTGGTCTTTTAGTCATGTTATAGTTATGTCTATGGCCATCTCTCCTTACGGTTATTATTGAACATTCCATATAACTTAAAGAATCAATGATATCTGTTTATCCCTTATTTAGGGAGCACATAGATTTCTGGCTGGCACATACGGTTTGTGCTTGACTGCTAATCTAAATGTTGATGGTTCAGACATAACCCAGCAGCACTGTGGAAGAAAGGCCTGGTAATCTGCTTCCATACAGATTACAGCCAAGAAAACCCTGTGGACCAGTCCGACTCTGTAACATAAGGGGTTGCCATGAGTTGAAATCAACTCAATAGCAAGGGTTTAGTTTGATTTGGTTTGGTTAGGGAGCATATGTCATACAACAAAGAAAGTAACAGCATTGCATTTATTTTATAATCATCTATTTTGAAATAGCTGGGAGTGTGTTCCTGTTTAGTCATTTAATAATATAAAACATTTTGGAAGCTCTGGTGGCGTAGCATGTAAAGCATTTGACTGCTAACCAGAAGGCTGGCAGTTCTAACCCACCAGTCACTCACTCCTCAGAAGGAAGACTGGGCAATCTACTTTTGGTTGAATTTCACTTTCCAAGATGTGTTAATGGCCAATAAAACAAATTCTGTATTCAATAACCTCTTGTTCTGCTACATTATTTGTTCTTAGATTGCCAATCTGTTAAGAAAAAAATGGTGTTAATGTTCTATTTAAGAGTGCTGCTATAATGATTTGAAAAATCTCATGTTTGCTTCTGATGTCTTCTGTGGCAGTTTCCATTACCCAGTGTAGTTTTGTATGCTACACACCAGGAAAATAAGCGGCTTTTTGGATTTGTGCTTCGGACATCAGGAGGGAGAAGTGAGAGTAACTTGTCATCAGTCTGCTATATATTTGAGTCAAACAATGAGGGGGAAAAGGTACATAGCTTTTCAAAATACATTTCTGTTGTGAAATAGAGTTCACAGTCACAGTTTTACTAAGATTTCTGGAAAAAATCTCAGCCTGGTCCAACTAAGCTGCTTCACCCAAGCATGTTCCTTTGAAGAGAGCCAAGCTGACAGGTTGGATGTTGTGACTCCAGAGCTCTCATTTTCCTGGCCATTGATGGCTGGTGGAATCAGTAATTTTCACATGTGATCAGCTTAGGGCAGCATCAGTGGCTGCTTTGCTTCATTCTTTGCAGTAATGTACTTGAAGTAACAAGAAGTGGGGCACATGAAGGAGGTGAGAGCTCACACAAAGACTTGGCTTTGGGTGAATCAACCTTTTTGAGGCAGTATATTATGCTAAATTATAAAACTATTTACATCAGTTGTTTGGATACTTGAAGTTATTACCTTGATGTGAGAAATGCCTGAGTTTTTCCAACTTTTTCTCCTTTTAGATTTGTGATTCTGTTGGACTGGCAAAACAGATAGCCTTACATGCTGAACTGGTAAGAATTTAAGATCCCTAATTATCCAAGAATGTTAACTAAAGTCATATATATAATATAAGATCTGTCCTATTAGCAAGTAAATAAAATGATTCTCCTTTAAGTACAGTGGATACTATTGTAGTTAAAGAGTTTAGAATTTGGATAAATGGCTATGATAGAATATAGATTTTTGGTGTGCTTTGTCATATATAAATGCAAAACATACTTGAAAAAGGTTACAAAGATAATATTAATTGAAATTTCTAAAATTTAAAGTTATTTCATATCTAATTCATTGGTTTTATTCATTTATTATTCAGAATCGTAGGGCATCAGAGAAGCAAAAAGAAATAGAGAGAGTAAAAGAGAAGCAACAGAAAGAACTCAGTAAACAAAAGCAAATCGAAAAGGTAGGCAGCCCTGAAGTCTGCATCTTCTTCTTCTGTGCTGTTTATAGGATTTCTTTAATTCAACACTGTGACTTCCAAATTTTGAATTTCCAAATGATGACCCGCTGTTAGTTGCTCACCTACTTCATAACCAGATGATTCACAGCACAGCATAGCCTTTTGATATGTTATTTGCATTGTAATTACAATGGCATGTAGTATGACTGGTTGTTTAACAAACATACCAGAGCTTTCATACTCCAGGGAGGGTTATCTCTAGGGTAGTAGGCTTTAGAGAGACTACAGAGACTTAACTGCCATCGTTGAAAGCCGTATTGTCTTTTTGAGTCCATAGCCTAGAGGAGAGTGAGAAAGATATATGTAGTGTTTGTTATTTTTTTCAAATGTTGCCAGGAGTGTCAAGTCATTGTCCCTCAATAGGATAGTTTTTTTTTGGGGGGGAGCTTTGATGCTTTTTTTAATCATAGTGAAATATGTAATAAGAAAATATTTGCCATTTTAACCATTTTTAAGTGTACGATTCAGTGACATGAATTACATCCACCATATTGTATAACTGTCACCACTATCCAACAGGATAATTTTAAGGTAGAAAAATTTCAGAGAAAAATCTGGAAAATATATTGGGTAGGTGATCCATGAGATGGTAAGGGTTGGTTATGGTACACTGCTGGTGGGACTGTAAAATGATACAACCACTGTGGAAAATGGTATGGCATTTCCTTAAAAAGCTGGAAATAGAAATACCATTTGATCCTGCAATCCCATTACTAGGTACATATCCTAAAGAAGCACTACAGTAGCAAAGAGATGGAGACAAGCTTAAGTGCCCATCAGTGGAGGAATGGATAACCAAACTGTGGTACTTACACACAATGGAATACCATGCAACTCTAAAGAATCATGTAGAATCCATGAAAGACCTCATAACATGGGTGAACTTAGGACATTATGCCGAGTGAGATAAGTCAATCACAGAAAGACAAATACTATATTGTTGTTGTTATGTGCCGTCAAGTCGGATCCAACTCATAGCAACCCCTCCTTGGGTTTCCGAGGCAGTATCACTACAGAAGTAGATTGCCCAACCTTCCTTCCGAGGAGTGGCTTGTGGGTTTGAACCGCAGCCTTCTGGTTAGCAGTCAGGTGCCTTAGGCACTATGCTACCAGAGCTCCCACTATTATAAAAAGTCAAGGAAAAGTTTATTTATGGAAGGAAACTTTCTTTGTTGGTTGCTGGGGGGGATGGCAGGAGAGGGGAGGGAAACTTGCTAGATAGCTAAGAGACAAGTATTGATTTCAGTGAAGGGAAAGGCAATATAACAAAAGCCAGTGACCAACACAGTTAACACTAAGGAAAAGGAAGACACAGAGAGGTGCACAAGAGGTATAGACAACATAGTCAAATACTTCTACATACACAATATTGCATTATCAGTAATAACAAACATCAATCTGTAGGTGGATACGTAGGTAGAGAGGTTACAGAATTAGGTATGTCTCAGTAAAGGGAACATACCCATGGCCCATTATGCTAAGTGAAATAAGTCAGTCTGTGCTGCAGTGCAACACACTGCAGTCGAGTCAGATCTGATTCATAGCAACCCCTCCTTGGGTTTCCAAGGCAGCATCACTACGGAAGTAGATTGCCCAACCTCCCTTCCAAGGAGTGGCTGGTGGGTTTGAACCACCAGCCTCTGGTTAGCAGTCAAATGCCTTAGGCACACCACCACCAGAGCTCCCAAGTCAGTCTAAGAAGGACAAATATTGTATTAGTCCACTGTTGTAAAAAGTCAAGGAAAGGTTTATATATGGAAAGAAACTTTCTTTGTTCATTACCAGCGAGATGATATATAAGTTTGGCAGACGATATTTTTACATGTGTATTTGTATGTGCTATAAGAATCTCCAGGAGCTCTGGTAGCATAGTGGCTAAGACACTTGCCTGCTAACCAGATGGCTGGCGGTTCAAACCCACCAGCCACTCCTCGGAAGGAAGGTTGGGCAATCCTACTTCCATAGTGATATTGCCTCGGAAACCCAAGAAGGGGTCGCTATGAGTCAGGGCTGACTCGACAGCACATAACAACAACAACAACATAAGAATCTCCATGTATATAATAGGGCTAATAGGGTAAAGTTACGATAACTTCTTAGCCACAGCCGGCCACCCTGAGGGAACAAGGTGCTGGGCCTGTGAGCTTGGGATCATGGTCGCGGGGAACATCAAACTCAACTGGCATGATGTACTACACAAAAACATTGTTCTGCATCCTACTTCGGTGAATAGCAAATGGGATCTTAAAAGCTCACAAGTGGCCATCTAAGACAACAATTGGTATTTCCTCCTCTGGAGAAAAAAGAATGAAAAAACCCAAAGATATATGGAAACAGTTGCTCCAAGGGACTAGTGGACCATGCAAACCTCAGCCTGCATGACCCTGAGACCAGAAGAACTAGCTGGTGCTGGGCTACCACTGTCAACCACTCGGAAAGGAATTAAAATAGGAGATCCTGGATAGAGTGGGTGAGAAATGGGGAACAAAACTCCAAATCATAAAAAAGACCAGGCTTACTGGTCTAATACCCTGTACCCCCAAAAAAACCAAACTCACTGCCATCGACTTGATTCCAACTCATAGTGACCCCTTTGGGTTTCTGAGGTGATAAATCTTTATGGAAGTAGCTTGCCCAATCTTCCTTTGGAGTGGCTGGTAGGTTTGAACCACCAGCCTTCTGGTTAGCAGTCAGATGCCTTATGCATTACACCACCAGAGCTCTATTAGTCTGATAGAGATTGGTAGAACCCCCAAGACTATATAGCCCCTAGTCAGCCTTCAGGCCTGGAATTGAACTCAGTCTAACAGTAGACAAGTGTATAAGGTGAACATTTACACCAGGTAGGTATACTCTTTAGAACAGTCAGTCATGGGAGATCAGAAGGGCAGTATTTGCACAGAGAGATAGCTTAGAGGGCAGGAGTGCATAGGAAAGTAGGACATGGGGAAAAGGTAAACAGTGGGAAAAAGTGGGAACAGAGCTGTTACATTATGGGGTTTGCAGTCAGTGTCATGAAACAATGTGTATGCACTGTTGTATGGAAATGAAAAGTCTGTTATGGGTGGTGGCATTGGCAGTAGGAATGGCAAAGAGGGAACAGCTGTGGGATACTTAATACAAACAAATCAGGAAGAATTGGAAATGACTAGATGTGGACAGAGGTGAGAGAAACAGCAAAGATGATGAAGTCAGGCTTCTTTAACAGTCTAGGCTTGAGGATGAGAAAGACATAGAGAGGTACATGGGAAGTACAGACAACAAATATGAACCCTTTTGCATATACAGTACTGAGTTGTCAGTGAAGGC